ACATGGCAGGTAAGTATTATTTGGTGGACTCAGGGTATGCCAATAAGCTTGGTTATTTGGCCCCATTTTGAGGTCATACTTACCACTTTCAGGAATACCATAGGAGTAGACCACCCCTTGGTCGAGAGGAAGTGTTCAATCATAAGCATTCATCTTTGAGAAATATAATTGAGCGATGCTTTGGGTTGTTGAAGATGAGATTCGCTATTTTGAAGGCAATGCCTCCTTATAAGTTTTCAACACAAGTATTGATTGTAATGGCTTGTTACACATTACACAACTTCATTAGAAATCAGTATCAACCTGATGATTTATTTGATGGTGACGATTCTCCTCAAAGTGATGGTGAAGACGATGAGATTGTTGAGCATGTGCCTCCGGCTCAGCTTCGAGAAATGGATCAGTTGCGTAATACTATTGCTGATCGAATCTGGAATTCTCTTGGGCACTTTTGATTTTCCTAAAAGTGATGGTATGTTTTTTCTTTTATATGTAATATATTTGTTGCCATTGTGGGCTTGTAATATATATATGTAATATATATCATTTTTGTTGTTACTATTTTGTTTTTACTATTACTGGTTGATATTATTGTTAACATTTTCCAACTTAAATTCTACCATTGCAGATGTGAAGTGTGTTGATACTTTCTTGAAGGTGATGTGTGCTGTTATGAAGATGATGTGTCCTACTATTGAAGTTTGTTCCATGGAAGTGAAATTTGTGTTTTTTGAAGTATGTCTCTTGTAAGATCTTCTGAGTTTTTCTGATACCTTCCTAACAGTTAAGAAAAACATAAGGAAACATCTTTTTATTTGTTAAGCATCTTTTTCTTCATTTTTGAATCATATTGTTGAAATTTGTAAACAATGAAGTGAATTGTGTTTGAACTTTGAATTATATCTCCTGTTTAACTTAATCTACTGTTTAATTTGTTCTCAATTTCTTTGTCATTTTTCCTAATACAGAAGAATGAGTATGATTTGAGAAGCTTCTTTGCAAGCTTCCATTCTAGCAGGGTGCTTTTTTTTTTTTTTTTATGTTATGACTCCTTGATAGATGTTTTGTGAAGTTTGACTCCAAATAGATGGATTATAAATGCAAAAGGTGATCTTAATATCTAGATCATAAGAATACAGTAAAAAGATGATACTCTACATGTCATCAAGACTCAAGTTGATGCCAAAACATTGGTCTCGGGATGAAAAAAAATAAGAATTTTGTAGTGCAATTAATGGGAACCAAGATTTTGCACAGATGAAGGCTTTCTATGTCTCTACCTTAATATCTAGATCATAAGAACACAGTAAAAAGATGAAACTCTACATGTCATCAAAACTCAAGCTGATGCCAAAACATTGGTCTCGGGATGAAAAAAAATAAGAATTTTGTAGCAATTAATGGGAACCAAGATTTTGCACAGATGAAGGCTTTCTATGTCTCTTCATTTTTCTTTTTTTTTTTTCTTTTTTTTTTTTGTAGCAAAAAAGATGTGTTTGTAATTTGGTCGGGGTTTACATTTCCTTACAGAAGAGAGGCTAGAGTTTATATTTTGGAGTTGAATTCCCACCAATGCAGACTTACAAGAGCCGAAAATTCTTATTAGAGCTGTGTAGTATGTTTTTTTTCTTCTTTCGCTAATGCGCAAAATGAGCAAAATGAATGAAACACAAACCTATGGATAATCATCACCAAAGGAATAAACTATACCAGGAAATTTCAAATAACTTGAAGTGTAGTTTCAGATCAAGATAATATGCAAAATGGTTGAAATTATTAGTTTAATTACTAGAACTAACATTCTACATTTTCGTTGAAGTAGTTGCTTCTGTAATTATACTTTGGTTATATATATATATATATATATATATATATATATATATGTTTGTGTTTAAATTTTAGTATATTTATTAAAAATATATAGACTATTTATATAGAAATAAAATTATAACTATAATTAAAATTTATAAAAATAAATTAAAAACAATGATAACCAAACATGTTTTTTGTTTCTGTTTTTTTTTTTTTTTTTTTAACAACAGTTGGAGTTACCAAACATGTTTTGTTTTTAAAATTCTTGAAAAACATAGCTTACCAAACATGTTTTGCATATTTCTGTTTCTGACATTTCCACAGCAAAACATCGTTCCCAAACGTGCTTCCAATTTTTGCCAAAACACTCCAATAGTAAAAGCATTGTTTATGTTTTAGCCAAAAACAAAACGCCGCGAACAAAACACATGCCAAACGGGCTTTAAACTAAATGGGATTGCGCATATGACAAGTATACACGGCACAAGTATACTAAATGAAATCTACACATGTGAAGTAAGTATACGAATTCAAGTACACTAAAAAAGATTCGAATACACAAAAAAGTACACTAGTCCAAGTATACAAAAAGGGATATAAATACATGAAGCAAGTATACGGTTCCAAGTATACTAAACAAGATCCAAATACACAAGGCAATCACCAATTCACAAACTACAAGTAATCCATGATTAACAACTTGGAATAGAATGCGAAATCAAGCCAAATAGTGAAAGGACTAGGAATACTTGGTTATTGACCAAACAAGTTGTTCTAGGCTATTACTCCCATAAGGTACTACCTAGTGCGCCATGTATAAGTGATTCTGGGCGATTACTCTCACAGGGTACTACCTAGGCGCGTTTTATATGACTAAAGAGACTCTTGTTGTCATACTAGAGCCATACTCTAGCCATCACATGTTCCTTTTCCTTACAAGCCTTCCAAAATCAAAAGTTTAAAACTTATACAAAATCAATAAGTTAGACCAAACTTATACAAATTCAAATAATGTCTAGGAATCAATTTACATGCACAAGTAAGGTTGAATCCACACAAACCATGTCCTAGAATTCAAGTCTAAATAGTATATGACATGTCATGTCCTCAATATGCAATTTATACACAAAGTAAGAATATTTTACAACAATTAAGCCACATTACCATCCTAAGCCATAAGTACTAAATAAGCTTCAATTTAGTAACTAGCTTTTAATGTAAACAATTGTAATATTTTAACAAGTTATATACCTACACAAGATATATTTAAACAAGTTATGCAAGTCATTGATATTCTATATCATGCTAAATCCAATTACCATTTTAAGAGGCCATAAGCACTAATTCTACATCTAATTAATAATATGCTCACAGGGTAATTAAACATACTAAGTTTCAAGAGGTTATCAACCTAACACGAAAAGTCTCTAGATTTCAAATCAAGTCGAATAGACTCAAAGTAATATATGTTAAAGGACATAGCACGGTCTTCACATATATTACACCCAATATTAATTTAAGTGACTACAACACTTAAAATAAAATTAATTAAGTTAATTAATTAATTTTCTCCAGATTTTTAAACAACTCCAAATGTCCTCAAATTAATATAGGTTCAAGAACTCACCAAGGTCTACTTTAATATCACATTACCAGTTGATTTTATGATTGTTTCAATTATGTGAATTAAACTTTCATAAAAGATAAATATTAAATAAAAGTTGCAATTCTTATTCAAATGCTCCCAATTTAATATATGTTGATAAACATACCAAGGCCTAATTTACTAGCATGTCACAATTTAATTCTAAGCTATACACAACCATGTGAATTAAATCTTAAACATAGAAATTAATTAAATTAATTTCTAGAACTTGAATTAAAGCATGCATAAAAGTTGTATAAGCTATCAAAACAATCAATACAACTCAAATATAAACCTATGACATCCCCTACCTCATTTTTTGATGAAATCACAAATCTCCACTGAAATGAAACAGCTCCGAATCTGACGAAACTTCGGGGTTTTGTCGGGGACAACAAGATGATCATTAAACACCAAGGAAGTCCTACCAAAATCCTAACTTGGCTTTAAACCCGAATTCAAAAAATGGCCAAAACGGGATTCCAATTGGTTGGAATCGAAGGCCTCATCAAGGCGAACAATAAACACTAAGGTATCACCACTTTTTACTAAAGGGAGGAGGTTTAATGGAGGAGAGAGGAGGTGGCAGCACTTCGCTGCCATGGAATCCGGCCAAGAGAGGGGAGAGAGAGAGAGAAATTTGATTTTCTCACTTTAGACCCTCTATTTATAGAAAAAAATCAAAAAATGCCTCAAACAGGCCCTACTAAGTCCAGAAAAGTGGAATTTGAGTAGACATGCTCAAATGGCAAAATTTCGTGAACAAAAAAGAACCATAATGAAAAAAAATGATCAACGGATGAAACGGTGTCGAGAATCGAGTCCCGAGTAGAGAGATATACCCCAAACAAGTTTGGCACTAACAAAGGCTGAAAACCCAAAAACTGTGGGGTTCGACCACAAGACAATTATAAGAGTACACGACTCAACGAAATGTGAAAATAAATCCCGTACAATGATTCAAGCCCCAAGGAGACACTTAGCAATTAGCTTTCATTAATTGCATAAAGACCCCTACACAAAAGGATAACTACGCAAGTGACCCTAAATTAAAATATCTTCCAAAAGATATTTTCTTAGAAATTCCTAAACCAAAATATCTTCAAAAAATATTTATAAAAAACACCCCAAGAAACAAAAATGTTTCTGAAGAATCTCTTCATCCACGCCCCTGCGGGAAAAAGAAACAACCAGCAAGCTTTTCTCCAAAAGTAAAGTTACGCCTTTCAAGGAAATCAACTAGAAATAAATACTAATTCTAGTATAGGTTGTGTTGCTTTTATAAAATTGGTATAACAAGCAATGATAATTGATCAGACCAACTCAAATGAATTCAAGCACAAAATAAACTAGTTCCAAATGAAGCAATAGAGGACAACTCCACTATCTAGTTCCAACTAAAAGTTAACAAGTTCTGGAAGCTAATGTCTCATATATAAGCAATTTCAGGCAAATTGCACATGATAGCAGGATTACAATTAAAACCATCGGATTTACGGGTAAGCTCTTTGGAATATCTAGATGAAAATATGGTACCAAAATCCTAGACGACGTCGCACATTTTGGAATCTGCAAGGGCAAACTCTGATCTGCATTTGGGCAACGAAAGAAAGCAACGAGCAAAAGGGAGCACCGATAAATTATCATCTCCTGTCACATTGAAGTTTACCATTTTGGTATGCTCCTCAATCCTCTGAAGCTTGTAATTGTAGCAATATACAGAGAATCGACTATTCAGCTTTCTATAACCCATAACAATAACGTTTGAATCAGGATAAAAAGCATAAATCTCAAACCACATGAATGGATTTTGCACGGTAGGCTGCAAAAAATTGTTAGTAGTTCGGACTGTAACATTGTGCTTTAGCGACCAATAGAAGTCATCTTTATTTAGAGAGCCATAGATGTTACCACTGGTGTGCTCCAGTGTAAAAATGAGCAGGTCTTTCCCATTATACAAAGCATACTGCAGGATGTGCCCATTTTGCAGCCCAATACATTCTCTTCTGAATGATCCCAAAACAAGTCGAGCCAGAGGAAGATCAATGGATTGAACCTGATCGGTTTTGCTGACCTGCCTATTTATTAAAATCCTCATAATGTGGCCTGTGAGAGACAGTTTGAACAGTGTTCCCTTTAAGTAGACAGATTGTGTCCCTGTTAGATTGAAGTTTTTTTGGAGATGAAACTTGGATTTAGTCCACTTCCCTGTCTCCCTATCTCCGAAGAAAAGATCTTCAAGTGGGCACGACAACCACGCCGTTTTGGGATGAGGACAACCTTATAGTGATGGGATTCACAAGGATTGAAAGCAAACGCACCAATTGCTTCAGGGGGATCAAAGGCATTCCCCAGAATTTCCACATACTCACTTGTGGTGGGATTGCAAACAATGTATTTGGGAGTTTTGTATAGATTGGAGTGGCGAAAGAGCAACAACCCATTGCAGCAGTCTAGCAATTCTCTGTCGTCATGAGGGCTGGACGGACTTGGTAACGAAGCAAGGAAAGATTGGGCCACGGTCTGCGATTGATCCTCGGCACCAAGAAGTTTTTGCTGAGAAGATGAGCGTCCGTGGCAGTACCAGATGCCTCGTGGGGTCGGATAGCCCAAGAACCCTCCCATGGAGAAGATGAATCCGGAGAAAGGATACCCATCCTTTGGAATCAGTTGGTGATTGCAAAGTTCAATGATCAAACGGCGCCAAGAACTCGAAACACCCTTGTATTTGATGAGAGTTTCAGGAGGAAATCTTCCAAGGATCTGCATCATAATGTCGTCGGTTAACATGTTAATATTACTGCCAACAACACCAGCACCATCATCCAAATCATCATCATCAACAACGTCATCAACGCCTTCGCTATACCCCATGTAGCCGCCATGGCTAATACAATCATTCTTGTCTTTGTTGCTAGTGTTGACACCACGGATCTTCTTACAGATATGCTCTCCCCAGAACCACAATTAAATAAACAATCTTACATTCTCCCACTTGGCACATACGATAACTTCTGTAGTGGTTAAGTAAAATAGTTATTAGTGTGCACCATAAATCAAATTAAGTTATTAAGTTGGTCATCATAAATACTATGGTAAATAAACTACCAATGTGAGTCATGGCGGTTGTGAGATACCCCTCGGATCCGAGACACGGGTTGATCAGGCCCAGGCCCAAACCCGAGGGAATATCAAATAATTAATATTTTATAATGAACACGGAATACAAAATAAATTAAGAAATGAAATTAAAGCTGGAAGGAACTAAAAATAGAATCCGCAAAATATTATAATTATTAAAATCCATCAAACCCAAACTCCAAAACTCCATCAGTTTACAACTTGAGAATCCATCTCTAGTGGACCCCTATTAAACATCCAAACGGAAGATAGAACAACTGTAATAAACGTCCAGAAATAAAACTATAGAGAGAGCCCTACATCGTCGGAAGAGTGAATAGAGACCTCTGCTCAGCACGAACACGTCTAAGCCTGGAACTGTCGTGTACCTGAAAAATAGAAGTGGGTCAGGCCCACGCGCAAAATCTATACTAGTACAATCCAAACAGAGGCCCGATACGCATGTACATCCTAAACAATTCAACAATAGCTAATAGTCCGTAAATATATATATATAGTCACACTAAAGGACTCTCACTGGACTACAGGCCGGTCTCAACCTGAATAGAGGTAACATGCTAAAACGCACACGAAGTGGGCATATGTACCTATACCTAAACAGGGTACACCTCCAACCATCGTAGCCAGCTACACATCCCGATGCATATACGCTCCCTAGCCATCGGTCCTGAGGCTCAAGCTCATACCGAGGCACCATAACAGTACATATATAAAATCCATCCAAAATCCTTGGTATTGCCGCTCAACAAGTAGTTGCCATGACAATACAAATCCACGGGACTTAACTTTTAGTTAATCCCATCCTTATTCCAAGTAGGTGGGTAATGGTATTATTTTAAAAACCAAACCCATCCTTAGTTTGCCACCGTCCCATACCGGTGCCTACTTTCCAATCCTCCAGTAGTTAATAATACCAATAAATCAAGTATATATCAACTAAATTCCAACATCCAACATTCAATGTTAGCAGTGATAAAATAAGCATTGATAAATAGGGTCACAACAACAACATATACATACCCAATTTAAGTTGTTCCCTTTGGTCTGATATAAAGACAGAATTAATTAAAACTTCCATTTAACACCTTACAAATGACATACAGATATGTAGGGTATATATCACAAAATCCTAACCTCCACAGTTGATACTAACTGTGATAATGTAAGCATCAAAACAATATTCACAGTATGTATGTAGACATGCTCAAATTATAGTGTTCCACAAAACCAATCTAGTGTTAAACTCAAATCCTCCTAGTATTTAAGTTCCAACAGTTGCTATTACAGAAGTTAAGATAGCTATCATCTAGACCCATCCTTCTAATAATTTATACTAACAGTGGTAAGGAAAAAGGTGAACCACAGAATCACAATGCATCCACAAACATGCTTAGTCTAGGTTGAACAAGCATACAACACTACTGTAACTACCAGTTTCATAGCGAAACAGATATCATTTTAGTTTGGTTTAATCTTCATTAATCCTGAAATCATTTAAGAGTGCAAAGAGTATAAAGCCTAAGGAAAAGAGTAAGGATAGAATCTTGCCTCAGAAACTTTTGTTCAAAGTTTCAATGTCGTCTTCTTAAAAAATCCTGGCGAGTTCCAAAACCCGGTTACTGTTCACGGGTACGAAACACTATTCCCGAACTCAAAATCTGATCTCCACCGTTCAGATTGTGTGACACTGAGTCATGAACCTATCTTCCAAATTTCAGCTCGATCGGACCACGGACGAAGCGGGATCGGAGCTTTGATTAAACCTTGGCAGAATGTGAAAAACTGCGTTTTTCCTTCTCCACTTCCACAAAACGTGTGCTTTGTTTAAAAAAAACCCTACACAGACGTTTACTTATAGAGTTTTCCTAAACCCTAGGTTCATTTAAGTCCAACTCACAATCCTAACCGGCCCATCCAATTAACGTAGAAACCTACGACGGCTATAATATAAAATCCTAATTTATACTGTAATTAAAACCCTAGTTAGATGTATTTACCTAATTACCCTATTCACCATTAAATACTTAACAAATAATCTAATTGAACAAAATAATAATTAGTAAACCCAATTAAACCAAATAAGATATACATAAAATAAGACACACATAGAATAATTAAACCAATTACACTTAAACCATTAATATCAATTAAATAATTAAAACACTAACAAGTAATTCCAATCAAATAACTAAACCAATTACACTTAAACCATTAATGCCACTTAAATAATTAAAACACTAACAAGTAATTCCAATCAAATAACTAAAAATAAATATCATTTAAATAAATTAAATCACCACAAAAGAAATAAATTAAATCACCACAAAAGAAAATAATTAAGCACCTAATAAAAAAATAATGACACATAATCAAATAAAATGCACTTAAATAATAAATTAAATACCATTAAATACCAGGAATATCCTTTTTAAAATTAGGGGTATTACATTCTCCCCTAACAAAAGGAATTCCGTCCTCGGAATTCACTCTTATCTTCTTCCAATATTTCAGGAAACCGTGAGCGAATGACATCCTCTCGTTCCCAAGTGGACTCAGACTCATTGTGATGACTCCACTGAACACGAACCAAAGGAATAACCTTATTACGAAGAATCTGATCTCGTCGGTCGACAATACGACACGGTGGCTCTAAATAAGTTACATCCGGCTGCAACGCAATCTCCCCAACATCGATATGCTGATACCGATCCTCATCTCGAAGAAATTTCTGCAACATGGAAACATGAAACACGTTGTGGACGCGATCCAAAGTATCCGGAAGTGCCAACCGATAAGCAACAGCTCCAATGCGATCCGTAATCATGAATGGACCAACAAATCGCGGTGACAACTTCCCTTTCTTCCCAAAGCGCATAACACCCTTCATAGGAGACACTTTGAGTAGAACCTGATCCCCAACCTGAAACTCCAAAGCCCGAGTACGACGATCAGCATAGCTCTTCTGCCTACTTTGGGCAGTACGCATGCGATCTCGAATAAGAGTAATCTTTTCAGAGGTATCCTTGATGAACTCAGGACCTAAGAATCGATTCTCTCCAACCTCCATCCAACAAACAGGTGACCGACACGGTCGACTGTACAATGCCTCAAATGGTGCCATACCAATAGTCTTCTGGAAACTATTGTTATAAGCAAACTCCACAAGTGGCAAATATTCCTCCCAGTGGCCCTTGAAATCCAGAACACACGACCGAAGCATATCTTCCATAATCTGATTCACCCTCTCAGTCTGTCCGTCAGTCTGAGGATGATAAGCAGTACTAAGGTATAACTCCGTACCTAAAGCCTGCTGAAAACTCTTCCAAAATCCAGATACAAAGCTCGAATCCCTGTCCGATATAATAGACAATGGAATGCTATGTAGCTTCACAATCTCTGAAATGTAAAGCCTCGCCAACTGCTCCGAAGTGTAGTCAGTGCAAATAGGCAAGAAATGAGATGACTTGGTCAACCTATCCACAATGACCCATATGGAATTATGCCCCTTGAAAGAATTTAGCAACCCTTCCACAAAATCCATAGATATGCTCTCCCATTTCCACTCCGAAATTGGTAGTGGCTGTAGAGCTCCTGGCGGCCTCTGATGATCAATCTTAACCATCTGACAAGTACTACATTGAGAAATAAAAAGAGCAATGTCCCTCTTCATACCTGCCCACCAAAACTGTCGCCTCATATCTTGATACATCTTATCGCCTCCTGGATGAACAGAGAACTCAGAGTGATGAGTCTCAGTCATCATATCCTTCCTCAAATTATCAGCAGAAGGTACCACTAACCGTCCCTTGTACCTTAAACTTCCATCATCCCGAACATAGTAGAATGGAACCTCTCCGGAAGCTATCTCTGCGACCTTGTCGACACACTGCTGATCGGTGAGTTGTGCTTGTAAAACCTTGCGAATGATGGAAGGTGTAACCACCATGCAAGCCATAAAAGCATCCGATAACTCATCCACACTCTTTAAAGCATTCCACTCAGTAGTGAATAGAGCAGAAAGACTACCAACAGGTCGGCGACTGAGTGCATCTGCCACTACATTCGGTTTCCCTGGATGGTACTGTATAGAAAAATGATAGTCTTTTACAAACTCCAACCACCTGCGCTGTCTCATATTTAGCTCCCGCTGAGTGAACAAGTACTGCAGACTCTTGTGATTACTGAATAATCTAAAGGACTCACCCAACAGATAATGCCTCCAAATACGCAAGGCAAAGACCACTGCTGCCAACTCCAAATCATGTGTTGGATAAGTAAGCTCATGAGGCTTAAGTTTCCGAGATCCATAAGAAATCGGTTGCTCCTCCTGCATCAATACACATCCAAGACTCTGCAACGAAGCATCCGTGTAAACAAGATACTCTATCCCGCTCTGCGGAGTAGCCAGAACCGGTGCAGAAGTCAGCCTCCTTTTCAGCTCATCAAAAGCTCACTGACAGTGTTCATCCCACACGAACTGTACACCCTTCTTGGTCAGATGAGTGAGTGGTCCTACTATCTTAGAGAACCCCTGGATGAATCTCCTGTAATATCCTGCCAGACCGAGAAAACTTCGAATCTCAGTAGGTGATGTAGGCTGTCCCCACTCAACCACCGCTGAAACCTTGGCCGGATCCACTGCTATCCCCTTTTCTGACACCACGTGACCCAGAAATTTCACCTCTCGAACTTGGCATATAACTGGTGCTCACGAAGCGTCTGCAAGATTATGC